TGCAGTTCACTCACGAGGGCGGCCACCTTGGGATCAATGCCCATCTGCTCTAAGGCTGCCCCGTGCGCGTCCATGTAATTGCAAAGCCCCCTCCTCCTCCTCCTCTTCTTCCGCCTCCTCCTCCTCCTCCAGCTCCTCCTCCTCGTCATCCTCCTCCTCCGCCTCCTCCTACTTCGCCTCCTCCTCCTCCTTCTTCGCGCGCCTTCTGTTGTCAAAAGCTCCTCCTAGTCTGGAATTCTACTCAGGTCCTCCTCTGCCCGCTCGGCAGAAAGCTGCGCAGCATCCTGGCTGCAAGCATCGAGCGAGACGCAAAGAAGCAGACGAAGGGAAGGGGAGGGCCCGAGAGCGCGGGAAGGGGGAGAAGCGGCCACGATGGTAGAGGACGAACAAACTGCATAAACACAATCGTTCGACGCTCAGCGCGGATCTCTTGGATCTGCATGCTTATGCAGAAAAGGGGCAAGCCCCGTAGCGAAGACAGCACAGGGGAGGCCGTTCCCTGAGGGTTTGCCCTTGGTCTTGCCTGTGCTCGCACCCTCTCCTCCCCGTGGCCTCTGGATTGGATCAGGTCAGAGCCCGACAAGGGCGGCGGTGCCACCTGATTTGCAGGCACAGCGTTTGAGGAAGCATCTATCTCAGAGAGGGGGAAGCGACCACGATAAGGATACCCCAAAGCTTAATGGACCCTGGAAGCCACAGGTCAATTCTTTACGGGGTCCGTTCTGCCGTTTTTACTGCTGTCTCCGGCACCATCGGTTTTCTGGTTCCGTCGCCGCTTGTTCTCCAATTTGGACTCCAGCTTCAATCCTGGAGCATTTTTGTTCCCTCGTTCTCAGCAGCTGTCTCTTGCTGAAATATAATACGCTCCAGAAACAAGTTTCTGAAAATGCCACCTCCTCCTCCCGAAAACAAATCATGCAATTTCAAGGGCCCACGAAGCCCCAGAGACAGCCCCAGTTACCCTCCCATGCAAAGAACCGCGTGGGAGGGTAGGGTAACTAGCGACCGGACCGTGCCACGAGGATCTCGACGCATCAGCCATGCAGCCCGCAACGGCGGCGCGTGGGCGGGGCGAAGAGAGACAGATCCTCCTCCTCCTCCTCCTCCTCCTCCTCCTCCTCCTCCTCCTCCTCCTCCTCCTCCTCCTCCTCCTCCTCCTCCTCCTCCTCCTCCTCCTCCTCCTCATGCTCCTGCTCCTGCTCCTGCTCCTCCTCCTCCTCCTCCTCCTCCCCTCCTCCTCCTCCTCCCCTCCTCCTCCTCCTCCTCCTCCTCCTCCTCCTCCTCCTCCTCCTCCTCCATGTCCCTCCAAGTCCCTCCAATTCCTCTACCTCTCCATCCTCCCCCCTTCCTTTCCTCTTTCCTGCCCTCCCCCTTCACTCCCTCCCTCCCCCTGTCACTCCCTCAAGGGGTCGGGCGGGGGAGGCTCGTTGACGCCACGGATCGCTGCCAGACGGGGCGTCGCACCACCTAGCCGAGCCGCCGCAGTCCTCGCAGGCATCCTTGGACTGGCCGCAGTGGCTGTCCCCCTCGGCCCGGGCGCTTGCGAAGCAGGTGCCGCAGAAGCTACTGCCGCTGTCCTCCGCCGCGGCGAGACAGCAGAAGCTGGCGGCGGTGGGCTCCACTGCGCGAGCAGATTCGCTGCTGTTGACTGAGCTATCGCGCTGCTGCTCCTGCTGCTGTTGCTGCTGTTGCTGATGCTTGGCGCCTCCCGCGGCGGAGCACCACGCGGCCATGCCCCCGCACGTGCCGCAGCTCTTCTCGGACGCGCCGCAGTGGCTGGATCGGTTTGCTTTCGCGTTCTCGAAGCACGTGCCGCAGACGTCCGAGGTCTCAGACGCGGCCAGGCAGCAGAACGAGTCGTTAGAGCCACCCTCCTGGTCTCTGGGGCCCCCCAACGGAGCGGTGACCAAAACACGGGGTGAGTCAGTGGGGGTTCGGGGTGAACGCACGGTATGGGACTCGGGCCGTTTTCCGAGGACGTCTCGGGCGACTGGGGCCTCCGAGGCCCCAAGACCGTGCGGTCCCGGTTTCCGCGGTAGGTTTCTTGGGATTTCGAGGTCACCGTGCGGTTTGTCACCACACGGTGATGGGCAGGTCGCGGGCAAGATGGAAGCCAGGAGCAGGGCCAGCAGGGATGCGAAGTAGGCGGCTGCGAAGAGAGTAGGCGACTGCGCAGAGGAAGACGGGAGGCATAGCAGACATCGCAAGACGAAGCATGCAAGTGTTTCGCATTCGTGAATCCGCGTTTGGGACCCCCGATCGTCCTTCACCAAACCCGCGGCCTCCGCTGGCGCTGCCGAGACCGCCTCGCCGCGCGAAGCCTCTGGAGAACACCAACGCGCCTTCGCGGAGCAGGCGCGGCAGGAGGACTGGTCGTTGCCGCAAGGGGCGTCCTGGCCGGACTTCGCTGGGCGGAGGCAAGAACCGCAGAAGTCGTCAACGTCGGAAGATGCCTTAAAAAACATGAACGAAACACCAGCGCCAACCCTGGCCAGGCCCACCCTAGGCCCAGGATCGGTGTTTGATCCTTCCTGGCTTGGGCACGAAGGCATGTCCACCGATCCTGGGCCCAGGATCGGCCTGGCAAGGATGGATGTAGATGTAGAGTTGGTGTTGTCCGAACGCCAAGCAGCAGAAGTTCGCGGCCGCCGTGCCGTTGGAGGTCTTAGGCGCCGCCTCAGGGGCCGACGGCGTGGTGTCGGCCGCGGCCGCAGTGGTCTCGGCCGCGACAGCGGCGGCGGCTGTCTCGGCCGCGGCGGTGGTGGTCTCCGGGCACGGCGACCCCTTCACCTCACAGCACCACGACTTCTTTGCGTTCGACCAGCCGCTCTCCCACTTGGCCAGGCCCGCCTTTCGAGGGGCAGAACACGGTTTGAGCACAGTTTTTTGGAAGACCGAACGGTTTTCTTGGATCGGCGCTGGGCCCCCAGACTCGGGCGAATCGCGGGGGGGGGGCGTCCGCCAAATTGAAACACATGGCGGCGGCGCCGGTCATTAGCGCCGACACTGGGAACGAACGAACCACCACATCGGACAGCTGTCCGGGCCTGCTAAGACCAGGTGGGCGGGGCCGTGGTCCCCTGTAAACATACATATTGACCTGCAGAGGATCCGCGAGACATACAAAAAGTTACGAATCTGCGCACCACACAAAAAATATGACGGAGGAGGGAAGAGGGAGGAAGTCCTGGTTGTGAATGTCGGCGAAGTGCTGATGTATGTGTGCCCGGATATCGACCACGTGGTGGTGTCTTGAGCTGAACGAACCCAATTGAGGTCGTTCCGATTGCCCTGCTCATTGGTTGGTATGGGCGTTGGGTGCAGGTCGGGTCGATGTTCTTGAAGGAAGCTGACGAGGTCGTCGTCCAAACGCTTGCGCTGGCCGCCGTGGTGTCTCCGGCCACGTTGCCGTGAGCTGTCCTGGAGGGCGACAAGCGCGACAGCGGCGCCGCCTCAGCGAAATGGTACAGCAGCGCCTCCGCTAAAGTGGGCGCTTGGGCAAAATTGACTGCGGACAGGAGGGAAAAGAAGAGGCAGGGGGTAAAGGCGCCTTAACTGGCGGGCGGTGCCGACATGGTTACAAACAACAATCGGAAGACGAGGGAGGACCGGCAGAGGCAAGCAAAAAGAGTTTTTCCGAACCATCATGTGGTGTTGGGTCCTCGTTTTGAAGAGACGTCGCCCCGCGTTCTCCTCTCCCCTCCTCCTCCTCCATCCTCCCTCCTCCCTCCTCCTACCATCATCATCGTCATCCTCATCATCGTCGTCATCATCACCGCCATCACAATCATCGTTATAATCCTCAAAACCACCATCATCACCATCAGCGTCAGCGTCATCATCATCAACATCATCATCATCATCATCATCATCATCATCATCATCATCATCATCATCATCATCATCATCATCATCATCATCATCATCATCATCATCATCATCATCATCATCATCGTCGTCGTCGTCGTCGTCGTCGTCATCATCATCATCATCATCATCATCATCATCATCATCATTTCACCCTCAGCACCATCATTATCCCCATCATCATCACCATCATCATCATCATCATCATCATCGTCATCATCATCAGCATCATCATCATCATATCTGTCATCATCACCATCACCTCTCACACGTTTCGTGGCCCCATAGGGCTCCATCGAGGGCCCCAGTGCCGCCGCCCGCATGCGTCCCGCACACCCATTTCGGCACACCCCTCACACGTTTCGTGGCCCCATATGGAGCTCCGCCGAAGGCCCCAGTGGGTGTGCCCGCATGCGTCCCGCGCACCCATTTCGGCACACCCCTCACACGTTTCGTGGCCCCATACGGAACTCCACCGAACGTCCCAGTGGGTGTGCCCGCATGCGCCCCGCACACCCATGTCGGCACACCCTTCACACGCTTCGCGGCCGCATAGGGAGCTCCACCGAAGGCCCTAGTGGGTGCCGAATGCGTCCCGCACACCCATTTCGGCACATCCCTCACACGCTTCGCGGCCCCATAGGGAGCTCCACCGAAGGTCCCAGTGGGTGCCGCATGCGTCCCGCACACCCATTTCGGAACACCCCTCACACGCTTCGCGAGCCCCATAGGGAGCTCCACCGAAGGTCCCAGTGGGTGTGCCCGCATGCGTCCGCACACCCATTTCGGCACACCCCTCACACGTTTCGTGGCCCCATACGGAACTCCACCGAAGTTCCCAGTGGGCGTGCCCGCTTGCGTCCCACACAACAATTTCGGCACACCCCTCACACGCTTCGTGGTCCCATACGGAGCTCCACCGACGGTCCCACTGGGCGTGCCCGCATGCGTCCCGTCCACGAATTGCGGCACACCGTTCACACGTTTCGTGGCCCCATAGTGAGCTCCACCGAAGGTCCCACTGGGTGTGCCCGCATGCGTCCCGCATACCCATTTCGGCACACCCCTCACACATTTCGTGGCCCCATTAGAGGCTCCATCCAAAGCGTTCTCGGTTGGAAAAGCTAACGGGGGTGCCTCGGCATTTTCTAAGGTTCGCGTCGAGGTTTGAAGTGCGAACCTCGAGGATCGAGGCTCGAAGCTTTGTGGCCTTCGGAGACCCGTCGTCGCCACGACGGTCTCAGCCAGCAGCGACCCATGAGGCGGTCATTGGGGGAACTCAATCAGCGTCGCCACGGCCGTCTCCCAGCTTCGCGCAAAACCTCACATGTCCGGCGGCGGCGGCGGCGGCGGTTGCGGCGACGACGACGACGACGACGACGACGACGACGACGATTCGCTAGGTGCGTCGACGATGCGTCGGCGACGCGGCGCGACCTTTCGACCCTGGCCCCCTTTGGGGGGCCTGCGGCAGGTTCGCGTTGTGTGGACGCGCTGGCGATCCGTTCAAGGTTGAACGCCGGGCCAATTTCGGGCCCTGGGGCCCACGGAAACGAACCCACGGCGCGAAATCCAAAACGAACATGGGGTCGAGAGGATCCAGGGACCTCCACGAGCGGAGATCGTTCGAGGTGAATGCTCCCCACGGCGTCAGGGACCAGCAACAGGGTCGTCTCGACACGAACCCGCAGCGCATAGGATGAGCTTTGACGGAGCGGGTGTCCCGCCGGCCTCCCGAGCAGGGCTCGACGCAGCTCCGGATAAGAAGCGTCGGAGGCATTCGGGCTCCGGGAGGGGTCCCAGGACCGGAATAGAGTTCATATCTCCCCTCTCGCCTCCATCCCCAACCGGAGGAGGACGAGGAGGAAGAGGAGGAGGAGGAGGAGGAGGAGGACGAGGAGGAGGACGAGGAGAAGGAGGAGGAGGAGGAGCAGGACGGGGAGGCGGAGGCGACGAGGAGGAGAAGGAAGACGAGAAGGACGAGAGCTGGATGACGAGGAGGAGGAGGAGGAAGACGAGGAAGAGGAGGAAGACGAGGTAGACGAGGAGGAGGAAGGCGGCGACGACGACAACGACGATGATGACGACGACGATGATGACGGCCCTCGCCAGTGAGCTTGGTTTCACCGAGTTTATCCGCGAGGCCTGACCTGAGGAGCGGCCCGCCACAGCCGCGCCTTCTCTCGGCTGTCCAACTGTTTGGCCTCGCGCCGCGGACGCCCTGCGCGCGTCGCTGGGGCCCCCTCGGGGCGATCAGCGCGCGTCGGGCGAATTCCGCGCCGCGCTCTGTCCAGCGCCTCGATCGCCCGTCGTCGCTCCGCCCGGCGGCCAGAGCCATGCGCGCTATCAGTTAGCCAGCAAGCAATCTCTGTTCCACACAGCGCACGAACCGTGCGCGTCACTGTGACCCCTTCGGGGCGACCTGCGCGCGTCGCGAGGGTTCCGCCTTGCGCTGCGCCTTCAGCCTTGGACTTTGGAGTGCGCGGGCAGAAGGAAAAGGAAAAAAGAGGGGGGGAAGCGGGCGCGATCCTCGTGTGGGGCGCGCCGACATGGGGGTCGCGGCGCGCGGGCACTGCCGTCGGGGTTCCCAGGGAAGCCCCCTGCAGAGGCTACGCCACGCAATTCGGCACATCCCCACACGGTTCGTGGCCCCAAAGGGAGCGCCACCGAAAAAGATTTTCACAATGGCGGTACTCACAACTGCATATAGTTAGGTCCTTCGCCAGGATAATGCACGTTCCTTCTCGCCCCCTCAACGTTGCGCGAACGGGAGTAATGCCTAAGCGCAAAGCCCACCTCAACGCCGCCACCCTCTCCGTCCGAATAGGAGACCACGACGCGCCGAGACGCCAACGCGACCGGCGCGACCCTGGCTGGAAGATCCCGCAAAGTCTGCAGCCGCCAATTGATGCAGGCAACGAGTTGCACGTTCAAGGATGCACGCCCGACATCATATTGACGCCCCCCTGAGCGCTGCGAGCACAGCTCGCCCGAACCGCCCAAACATCTGAGATGTAGCAAACCCGGACTTGCCATGCAGCTTGGCTGGCTGCAACTGCATGGGCCAAGTTTCCCTTCTTCAATACTTGCCCCAATAATTCCGCGAACAGAATGAGCGCCCGCTCGCAAGTGACCTCCTGCGCGACGCCGACCGGCCCGCGCAACTTCAGCGCGACTCCAACCACGACAAACGTCTCAGAGGGAAACGTGATTTTCCTTAGCGGAACGTCCCAGCCCATGATGCTAGCTGCCGCCATCCACGACGTCCATGCCGACGTCGACGTTGACGCCCTTTCAATGCAGGTTATATCGTCCACGTATCGCGATAAAGGAATGACCAGTAAGACTGCTACGACATGCGCTGCCCACGCAGGCTAAAGGGCGAACAGCAACGGCGTGCCCCGACCCAGAAACAACAGAAACAATGCTAAGAAGAACGCGGCCCGCTCAGGATTCCACTGCGCCGGCACCGCGTCAGCCACGTGCTTCGGGTCGGCCGGGATCTGCTTGAAAGTTGTTGCGCAATCCGACGGTGAGCCTGCTAACTGCTCGCCCGGGAAAGCCTCCGCGGTTGCCCTCGCCCGCGCTGCCAAACTGTCTGGGGGCGTTGGAGCGCGCGTTGAAACCGCCCCCCTCGCAGATATATACTTGTTCTGCGAACTGCCCGTCGTCGTTGAGCCTGACGTTCGGCTGCTCCGACGCGGCGCGCTGCTCCAGAATCGCCTTGCGGCGCAGCAGACATGGTCGAGCACTGGCATTCCAGGCAGAGAGCACACGGCCCTGTCAAAACGCCGCGATCAAGCTCTTCTTCTGTCTTGTTCCGAGCTCAAATCCAAATCCCCGTCTCCAGATGGCCCCACCTTACGCGGGATCTTCGCTGCGCGCGAAATCCGACCCTTCCGAAACTCCGGCACAGTGATAGACAGCTCTCTCGCGCGCGGACCACGCCTGGCACTGGCGGCGCCCGGCCGAGCATTTCAGACCCCAACAACAAGCCGGGAACTGCACCCCGATCCGGAGCTGGCGCGACGAAAAGGAGCTCGCGCATCAAAGCAACGTTTCTCGTGGGACCACCAGACCGCGACACCTGCCCCACGGACGGGTGCGCCTTGGCCAAGAGGAACGCAGTCTCGTCAAGCAGCTCGGTGGCCAACTCGATTATGAATTCCATGACCTCGCCGCGCCGCTGACCCAGTTCGCGTTCGTCGGGTCGAACTGCAAGCGCGTGGAAAACAAGTGGAAAGGGGGCCAATGACAGCGGGAACGGATGCTCAACGGACAAGGCCACTTGAACGCACATGTCCGGGGTAAAGAAGTCAGGAACCAGCGGCGGCATGGCCGATCTTGCGGGCTGCATACCTGAAGACATTGCATCCCCGATGCTGGAAACAGAACGCCCGCCGGAAGGTAACACTCCTGCTGCTCGCAACTGGTCGCCCACCGCGGCACCCACGTTCAATCCTACAAAGGACGACGATGGCTGCATTGCAACTGCCCCACACACGCCTCTGCCAAGAAGGCCCAACCTGCAGATCACGACAACTTAGCAGAAGCTGGCCAGCATGGGCCCGCAACGGGCACGGCCTCGGAGAGCTCGATGCCGATGCCCACCTTGGCACTTGCCACTCAAAGACAGCATCGCCGCCGCGTTGCTGACCACGGCCGCGGGCTTCTTCCACGGAGCCCCATCGAGGCGCGCGTCACGGAAGGCATGCGCGCCCCGGCGTCCGCGATGAACTAGGCGAAAGCCTGCGCTGTCAACACGAGGGAGGACGCAGGCACTTCGATCATACGAAGCCGTCCCGCACCATGTTGAGCGCGGCCGAGAGCAAGGCTCATGTCCCGCAGCTGGCTCTCGAGGTGCCCGCGTGGAAGACCTCCAAGGCGCATTCGATCGCGTAACTGGGACTCGCCACGTTGAAACATGGACAGAATCATAAAAAGAGCCAGGGGCGGGCTCAACCAGAGTAACCACGCCCTATCCCCCAGAACAAGCCCCACTACAATACTCAGAAAATGCAGGCCCAAGATGTCGAAGGCCTCGCCGTAGACGATATCCACTGGAGGCCCGCGCGACCAGCCAGCCGCCCCGCGAAAGCGGGAAAGAACTGCCGCCACTGCGAATATCTCCCAGACCACGCGGCAACGTGCAAATCGCACCTGGACCACAATTGCCCCCCATTCGGGAAACCACTTGGGACCGCGGCGCCGCGCGCCAACCTGCGCGGCCTCAATCACCAATGGCGATGCACCCGATGGGATGGATGCACAAGATGCCGGCAATACTGATATACCGAAAAGCTCCATGACAGGGGCGAAGCACTCCAGGTCCTCAAATCCCACGTCGTCGTCGTCGCGTCGCCGTCCTCTGTGTCAGGCACGGCGAGGGCAGACGATGGGCCCGAGAAGCTATGCCAATCGTATGATGCCACGATCAACTGACACGGCAACCCGCCGTGACACGCGTGTACTTCCGCAAAACAATTTCATACCAGAGTCGCGCCGTGAAACGGCGAGAGCCACGCCGCCAAGTCTGCGCGAGCATTGGCGCAGTCACCGAAAGAGGTGCGTGCCGTGGACGGGGCAAGGGCAAGGGCAGGCAATTGCAACTCCACCGATTCCCGCATTAGGATGGTGGGGTCAAACACAGGTGAAAGGACGAGGCCGTCAGGAGTAACACCCCCGATGTACACCTCATGGTGGCACACGTAGCACCGGCCAGCAGCGAGACGCCGCAGGCGAGGCTGAGGGGCAGCGCTGCCGAACCAGCCGGGGCCGAAACACTTGACTGCCAGGCGCTCCCGGAGACTACGGACGGACGCAACAACAAACGGCATGGTGGCGGCCAAAGTCAAGCCGCATTGGCTCGAGACCAAAGACGGCGACCACAGCAAACCGGCCTGACCGCAAAACTCATCCCTGAGTTTTTCGTGGGCCGCCCACACGGCGCGCCACTTACCGCCGCGATGGCGTTTGCCACCGCGACCTCGGCCCTTTTTTGCTCGAATCGGCGGGGCCAGAATTTCCCCAGCCCTTGTAGTTCGTCTCATGAAGAACACGATCCCGCTCCGACTGCAGATCGAGAGAGCGCTTCCTTAGCGCCTCGCCCCCCGACGATCCGGACGCCCCTGCC